CGATGTAACAATCCTTGCGAATTGTGAGGGTCTCAACACCGCTGACCATCAGAATTGCAGCTGGTTTAACATTTAACCTTTGATTGAAGTAGTATTCGGCGACATCACGGCTTTTGTTGCTGACTGAGTATATCAAAAGGCCTCCCTCACTGTTGTTCTCGTTTCAACACTCGCAGCGATACCGCAGAAAAGCGCCGACGACATGTTTCAACATTCATCAACATGGGTCCCTATTTTATTGCGACAGGAGGGGTGGCAAGTGGTTATGCCTTTTCATTCCACTCACCGATGATGAGCGCATCAGTTTTACTCAAAAAATGTCCCAAATCCGAATTATGCAAACATGAAGAATCCACATACTTTAAGTTTCGGTGTATGAGGAACTGTATAGCAATCGTCAGAGACCGATTGCCTCGAGCCTCGAATTATGATAGAGTGAGACTTACCGAGCCTGAGTGCAGGAGCTTCCGCCCCATGCTAAGTACGCCTTTCCACTGCGGGGAATCACTCCTTCTGCACAGCTGATACGCGAATGAAAGCAATACTCAATGGGGCAGTGTGGCTCTTGGCTATCTCAAGACTGGTCTGGGCCTAGAATGATCGGACTAGGAGGGAAGTAGTACGAAGAGCCAGCTCATATGACGTTTACCCTTCTGGGCCGCCTGTGCTCTTCAGTCGGTTTTCCTGTGACTGATTTCCTCTTGAGAAGATTCTCCCATGTACCGAACCCCATCGAACTAAGCGTATATCCTTGGCAAATATCATTTTATTAGTACTATCCAACGATAGCATTATTATTGGTGACCCACAGGCTCCTGGGAGCCAAGGCCAATTATTAACCAATAATTTCAAAGACGACTTGTGAGCATGTGGGCCATTGATGGCACTAATTGGCTTATGTTTCCGAGTAGTAGTACCCACCCGCATCCGCTTCGTTCCCAGGAGATTGATGCAGGTAATGCCTTTGCAAAGACGCGGCTGACCGCAGAGGTTTGTTATTCAAAAACGTAATCGAACTAGTGACTGGCTCACCCTACAAGAAACTCTGTTGTGAGATGGGGCTGTGCGAATCAGCCGCGCGCCGACCCATAGCTTGTATCTACTTGATATTGTGTAGGTGATGGATTTTCCCCGATATGGGAGGTAGGCAACGAACAAACAACCCTGCGGTCTGCCTGCCTTTGGTGAGTTGCTGTTGCGTGGAGTCACGGGCTCATCGCCGGTGAGTGGGATGAAATCGCACGATCTTGTCACCTTGCCCGTCGCAGTAAAGGGCGGACTGACGGTGATGAATGTTGATAACTGTTATCGGTTTGTATCTACGGTATCATGGCTGTTTAAACAATGCCAACAGCCAGAAACGTTTCTATTTTCTGTCTGGATCACCATGCGCAAAATTTAATTCCTCTGAGAGTTGCATTAAACCAATGATGAAATGTTGAGTCAGTCATCATTGAAGAGAAGTTCGTGTTTGAGCCCTCGCAATTAAACATGATGATCTTATTGACGCAGAGTGAATGACTTGCTGAATAACTATAAATACCCGGTCCTTGGCCAGCAGTACCATCGTTCACAATAATTCCTTTGTGATTCTGGAACAAAAAGTGTCAAGTATGATTCGTCTCCACGGCTACTCTTTGGTATGGATTGACCTCCAAATCATGCAATAAAATGAGCTGACCTCTTACATCATTGAAGCCTAACTTTTCTCAATAGTCAATCCTTCAAGAAGTGAGTGTAGGTGCCCAATCATTTGAAACCATGCTAACGCGGAGGATACTCAATATTAGCCCATCCTCCGCTCAACACTGAGAATTTATTGAACAAACGTTTCAAGGATCTGGAGTGGTCCAAGCTGGGGGCACAGTAAGTTCCAAGCTGCCTTCACAGGGTACCTACTAATGATTGATGATAAATAGATGTCATACTTTACAAAATTCCCTACAGTGAACAGCATTTACCGACAACGTGAGTCCAAAAACTACGGCAAAATTGATAGCAGATATCATGTGCTGACGGCTCTGTGGGTTGGCAAACTTTCTATCGCAAGTCACTCGATGTCTTGTAAGTCACGCTTGGGCTTTTCCCTGCTCTTCCCCAACGCCCGGTACTGCACTTCGATCTCAAAATGAACGCTGGCTGTTATGGGCTCTCCATTGTTCAGAAAATATCGCTGATGATTCTTTACACTAGACCTGACAGAGCTATGTTCCCCCTCGTCTTCGAGACTAGACCAGCTGCAACAACCTGACGGGCCAAGCCATTTAATCTCACTACACTTGCGTCTTTGTTGTTTCAGAAGAAATGATTGACACGGGCACTTCGCCTGGCGCATTAAGCAAGCCCATTTCAGGAAGGCTTGATGCCCTTTGCTTAGCCATACGGTAAACTTCCAAAGTCTCTCCATTCCTCTCTTCTACATTACCCTGTCCGAACAGAAATTGACAGCCAATGTATTAGCAACTCACCATATTCTGACGGCCATGAGCCTCTTGCCCATGTCCAAATTGAAGGCTTGTCGGTAGCCATGAGCCGGTCTCACTGATGACCGAGCGAGCCATCGGAGCATCCGCGACAACGAAGAGAGGCCGAGAATCCACCGCCATGGAAAAAGACAACCAACTCTTTCCCAGGTGGCATCAATCAGCAAATTGAAAAGAGCTATTGGCAATAGTCTTAAGGCCAGTTATTTCAATCCTTGATTTCAGTTGATCAAGCGTTAAGACAGCCCATCATGCCACTTCATGCAGGCTTCTGCCGCTAACGTGCCATGCTGCTAAGCCTCAGCTGCGATCTCATCGCTTGGCGACCATGTGGCGATTGTCAGGTACGGAAGGAAGCTCTAGCTAACTAGATTGGGAGTTGACTTTTCTTGCTCAGCCATTGTCATGATGGGATTTCCGGATGTACTGGCTCCGCTAACATGAATGTCCACCTCTTCTCGTGTCAGGTATAAAAGCCCCCTCGAGGGAAAGCTTGTTGGCTCGAATCACAACCATTCATTCCCTGTTCACTTAGTGGGATACCCATCATGTCTACGAAATCTCTTGTGTTTCTTGGTCTGATAAGTACGGCCTTTGGACTGGCAACAAGTACCAGTCATTCCAATCTGCCATCGTGTCGTGCTCTCCCTGGGGACGCCGCATGGCCCAAATCCCACGAGTGGGCCAAGCTCAACAAGACCATCAATGGAAACTTGATTGCAACTATACCTGAGGCTAGCGTATGCCATGAATCTTCTTTCGGAACTTTTGATTCCTCGGCCTGTGCCCAACTCAAAACTACATGGGATGTGGCACTTCCCAGCCAGTGAGTCTCACAGTCTGTCCAAATGGGGTCCCATCACTGACACACGCCAGTATTTCCGCTCCTGGAGATGTTCTCAGCCAGTACTTCCAGAACTACACTTGCGTTCCCTTCACCAATGTGTCTCAGAATTGTGAGCTGGGCAACTTCCCCAACTACGTTGTCAATGTCACTGGAGTAAACGATGTCCGGGGCGCCATTGCGTTTGCTAAAAAGTACAACATAAGAATCGTGATCAAGAACACAGGACATGAGTACGTACTATACCTCTCAATTGATATTTGAACCAGAATTTACTAATAAAAACAGCTACCTGGGCAAGTCCACCGGGAGAGGCAGCTTGTCCCTCTGGACACACAATCTCAAGTCCACCGAGTACATCCCTTCCTACAGCTCCCCCCTATTATAAAGGGCCCGCTGCAAAGCTAGGTGCTGGTATTGAAGGATGGGAAGCCTACGGGCTTGCCAATTCGACAGGTCACCGCATGGTTGGGGGTACCTGTCCTACCGTCGGTGTCGTAGGTGGTTATACACAGGGCGGCGGCCACTCAATCCTCTCTAGCTCCTACGGCACGAGTGCCGACAATGTGCTGGAGTGGGAGGTTGTCACAGTCGACGGTCAGCACCTCATAGCGACCCCAAATCAAAACTCGGACCTCTACTGGGCCCTCAGCGGTGGTGGCGGTGGCACTTTTGCCGTCGTTCTCTCGATGACCGCTCGATTGCACACGGACAGTATAGTGGGTGGTACCCTTCTCAGCTTCAACGACTCGATCGTTGGCAACGCTGCTTACTGGGAGGCCGTGGGTGTATTCCACGCACTCCTTCCTGATTTCCTTGATGGCGGCAACTCCTTCACTTACTCCGTCGAGAAGAACTCCCTATCCGCATACGGAACAATGCCTGGTGCAAATCTCACCGAGGTCAATCGGTTGCTTAAGCCATTCTTAGCTGACCTAGCTCACCGCAATATCACTCCTTACAATACGCCACAAGTCTCACCCAACTACTATACCCACTTTTACACCTACCTGGGTCCAGCCCCCTACGGTTACGACGCTTTCTATCCTTTCACCAACAGCCGCATCATCCCTCGATCACTCGTGGCAAACTCTACCACGAATGCTGTCGTCACAGACCTTTTCCGCAATATTACTCTTGTGGAAGCCTTCTCTCCCTTCTACTGCGACAGTTTCACTGTCGCCACCCAATCCCATCCGGATAACTCGTTGCATCTCGCGTGGCGCGATGGGATGCTTCTTTGTGCTCCTGCGGGCAGCTGGGACTGGAACGCGACGCCAGAGGAAATGACGGCGCGGGATGAGTATGCTGCTAAAACACTGCAGCCGATGATGGATAAGGCGACACCGGGTGGTATGGTCTATCTGAATGAGGCCAATCATCTGTACGCAGATTGGAAGGAAAGCTTCTACGGTAATAAGTACGAGAGACTGCTGAGTGTCAAGAACAAGTACGACCCACAGCAGTTATTGTATGTGAAGACGGGAGTGGGAAGTGACCGGTGGGATGAAGACGGAAACGGGCGCTTATGTAGAGTTTAGTTGTCACTGGGAGTCGTCTATTCTGGTCTGTCGATGGCTTGGATAGAGATTGCGATGGAAAACATGGTTGAACTGTTCATAATTGCATAGGAAGATGTGAACATAATTGAATGCAATATATAGATCACAAACTCACGCCTCCATATTGATAGCCTCCTGGGCCTCCAATAGCTGCAGATAAACACCCGCAACATTCCACCGTACATCAATACTCATGAACCCCTCACGCAGGCTCCTCACCACCTCAAGGCCATGCGCTGATTTACTGCTGGTCCGCATATGGGCGCCACAGATGCGATAGGCAAAATACAGGCCCCACGGGGACATATCCTCTGGATCCCGACCCAAGAAGCATTGTCGCTCGATTAAATTTGCACTAATACGCTCCGTGATTTGTTGAAGGATAACCTTCGCTCGTCGTGGACGATAGGCCTCGATTTCTTCAACTGCATCGGATAATAACCAGGGTGTGTATAGGGCGACCAGGGCACTAAGTTTGGTGTAAACGCCTGTACAAGATAAGGGTGGCCATTGTAGTACTAACCTGTACACGAAGGTGATTTGATCATAGTCCGGGAAATCAATATTCAATGCAGCGGCTAACATTGACTGCAGGGTACGATCGAGCTGTATCCAAACATCATCTTCGCTGGTGAAGTCGGTTGAGAGGTGATAGAGAACTTGGCCCAATAATCTGGCGGCTTGACAAAGCAGAGCAAATTTACTCATATGTCCCGTCATTGGAGACGAGAGAGTCGAGAACCTATCGGGTTTGACGGTCTAATTTCAAGATCAGCAGCTAAAAGCCAAAGATCACGAATTGACATACCCCCTGGTCCCATGCAGCATCATCTGCTGGTAAAAAGTCATCCAATTTTGGATCTGCAGTTGCAAAGGGCCGTCCCGGGCAGCCGATGCTCACAAAGCTTTTGTGTTGTTAGTATCCGAAATAAAAGACTCACGGTGGACAGCAACGAACCGGTCTAAAATGACAATAGCCCACCAGACCCTCCGTCGCTCCTCAACCTCCACCAAAGTGAGCACTCTCCGACTCGGCACCGTGCGACTGACATTAATACCCAAGGCATAGGCATACCTCGCACAGGTCCCGATCGACAAGAATGCAGCAGGGTAGATCCCGTGTCCTAGCTCATAAAGAGCAACAAGAACTCCAGCTTGCAGTACTAAAATAGAGAAACACCCTTCCACGTTTAGATAAAAATGTTTAGTTGAGTTATACAAGGCTGTCCGGGGACTACGAGAACCAGCCGGCGGGAAGGTAGTGATGAGCTTCAGTGCCAATAAAAGAAGAACAACATCGGGCCGCCAGTGGAATGAGGGCTGCAGGTATAAGTCGTAAAAGCGCTTCTTCGAGATGAAGGGCATCCATAGATGAACATGCTCGAAAAACCGCGTTGCCGTGAGCTGGATTTCATCCAAATCGCCTAGTAGTCGTATAATGCACTGCGGGACAGTCCCTGTCGCAGGTGAAGTCTCCACTAAGCCGTGCCGTAGCAGAGCCGGATCGAGAAACAAGATGGTCGGAAAGTCAATAGTCCGAACATCTGCCTGCTCGTCCAGAGGGGAGGGGTACCATCCTCGCTCCGGGCTTGAAGTGGTGGCCGAGTGACTAAGCGCATCTGGTCTCCAATACTCGCAATTTTGATTACGCCTGCGTTGGCCCGCGTTAGCTCTGCTGCTGTAATGTAATCATTCGTGTTTACTTAGCACAGAGGGAGCATCTGGGGAGTGCCTTGTCGCATTTCCTCTTGCGAGACCTGCAGGATTGGCAGGACTGGGGGGATAGGTCGAGGCTGGGTTCATGACTGGGGGTCTGCATGATGAAGGTAGAAGGTGGACGGAGTTCGGTTTCTGGCGGGCTTTGACGGCCGCAGCAAGGAGACTAAGTGGGGAAAGATGACCGCAAAATGCGGGATGTGTATGACAGGCGGAAATTGGGCGGAGATGACCGGATCATTTGCGACCGCATTTGCGGCCGCAAAGGATGACAAACCGCGCACATCGGCCATGGACGGAGAAACTGGAGGCCGAACTATACAAAGAATGGACTCACATAAGTAGCCATAATTGTCGATTCATTCAAGTCATTATACCTTGATATTTATCTGAAAGTCTTCTCCTCTGCTTCTCAACATGGGCTCGCCAAGCCCCTACGCTGCCGCGCATCTCGACCCTCAAGGCGCCGGAGATGCACGACCAACCGCCCTTCAAATCATCAAAGATGAGGGTGCCGAAGGAAAGCTGGCCGGTAAGGTTATTGTCATCACTGGAGCCACATCAGGCATTGGTCTCGAGACAGCTCGTGCCTTGAAGACCACCGGGGCCACTCTGTTCCTCACAGCCCGCAACCGATCTAAGGCCGAGAAGAACCTCGCCGGGATCCTAGAACCCGGCCGAGTCTCGCTGATCGACTTGGATCTGGACTCATTTGCGAGTATTCGTGCTGGGGCTAAAGAAATCCTCGCCGCGTCCAAGGGCCAGGTCAACATTCTTATCAACGGCGCGGGTGTTATGGGCATCCAGAACCGTACGCTCACCGAAGATAGCATTGAGGCGCAATTCTCTGGCAACTATGTGGGGTTCTTCCTCCTCTTCCAGCTTCTGAAGGAAGCTTTGCTAGTCAGTGTGACTCCCGAGCTCAATTCGCGAGTCGTGGTCGTGGCTTCATCTGCCCACCGAGCTAGCACTCTCCCAAGTAGCGACAACTACAACTTCGAAAAGAGCGAATATAGCCACGAAACTGCGTATAACAACGCTAAGCTTGCTGCGGTATATTTGGCCAACACCATTGAGCGGTTATATGGTTCCCAGGGACTACATGCTACCAGTCTCCACCCCGGCGCGATCAACACTGATATATCCCGTAATATGCCTCCGGAGTTCTTAGAGGCTATTATGACCAACCCCTACATTCTGAAGATCTTAAAGTCTTCCCAGCAGGGAGCGGCTACGACAGTGTGGGCGGCTGTGGGCAAGGAGTGGGAGGCAAAGGGTGGCAAGTATCTCGAGGACTGCAAGGAAGCGGACCGTGGTGAGGACGATGGCCAAACCTTCGGCGCCGGATGGGTGAAGCAAACATATAACCCTGAGGAGGAGGATCGTCTCTGGAAGGATTCCCTTAAGATAGTCGGACTGGAGTGAAGTGATCATTTTTCACGCGTTGATAGATGCTATTATTACAGCGCTCAAGAGAGCTAGTATGGCAATGTGATCTGTGCACAGTTGGACTTGATTTCCAGTATTGCGATGTCTTCTTCTTTCTTTTAAACAATGCTTCGTCCTTGTTGTTGGCTATGTGCCATGACTCTCGGTGTAGATAGCCGGTTCTCACCCAAACATCCTTGGTAGCTGTCGACCACATGTGTCGAGGGCGGTAGAGGGGAGGAGGTACGCCTTGAGCACCAGGTGATCGCGGTTCAGTAGCGGGGTTCGGCAGAGGAACAGTTCAAAGCACCACACGGATACCACCCGTTAGACCTGGCCGGGGGGTCTAAGGTCCAGACCCTCCACCCGCCAAGGGTCCCTCAATGAGGGTCCCTTTTTTCATAAGGGTGTATAAAACATAGACCTCATAACCGCCCGCGAGCCGCCCTCCGAGGGCCGCCCACTAGGGTTCCGAAAGGAATAAAGGAATGCGAATATACAACATATTCATATTCGCACTCCGCGAATATGAATATATGTGTTGAGATAGGTAGTTGTAGTGTTCTTGTTGAGGTTACTATCAAAAGTGGGAATACATCTATTGATATGTCCATCTCTAGTCCCGCCATAAGCTTTAACCACCGCGATACTCAACACTCCCACTCGATGGCAACCCATTACCAATGGTGTCAGCGGCCATATGATCGCGGTTGCGACGGGCTCCATTAAAACCTTCAAAAACTTCATTTGTGAAGAAAGGAAGGAAAGGATGCCCTGCGCCTTAATCTCGTTCAATATAAATAAGGTGTCGCAATCACTCGATGCCAAGCCCTCTCCGAAACCACTCAAATCTTTCCCGAGCAAGGGGTTTGGTGAACCCATCAGCAATTTGTTCTGTGGTGGGGATATACTTGAGTTTGACTGTTCCGTTGTCCTGGACCTCTCCCTGCCACTTGCGTTGGATCTCCATATGTTTTGTGCGGGAGTGGTATTGTGGGTTCGAGGAGAGCGCAATGGCTCCTTGGTTATCCCCGCAGATGATCGTGGCGTTTGTTCCTTGGTTCATATTCAATTCGTTGAGAAGCCTTCTCAGCCAGACTGCTTCTTTGGTGGCTTGTGTCTGCCCTAGAAATTCGGCTTCGCAGGTTGAGAAGGCACCGACGCCCTGGCGTTTCGATTGCCAACTGATTGCTCCACTTCCAATGTTGAAGAGATACCCAGCTGTTGATCGTCTCGTGTCACGACATCCTCCCCAATCTGCATCTGTGAAGCCTTCCAGTCTCTGAGGCTGACCCTTGTACGCGAGTTTGAGGCTCTTTGTTCCTTTGAGGTACCGCAGGATGCGTTGAGCGAGTTTTCGGGGCAAAGTTTGTCGCAAAAAAAGAACCATGAATCTCTTGCCCAGTGATACTTTGCCCTGGCATGGTTGAATATTAGCCCAGAGCCGTACATTGGCAGGTATGGCTAAGTCCATTCCCAGTGGTACAAAGTGATCTCGGATCTGATCCCACTACCTAGTTCCTGGTTTCTCTAGGCTGATTCCAGGCTGCTCACGGTAAGTCTATCCCACCCTCGGTCACCAGAAATCATATTAATATAGAGAGACAGTGAGACGGCCCTAATTCAGCTGTTCTGGTGAGTCCGATCGAGAATGTGCATTATAGCTGGTTTAAGGGGACCTCATCTAGGCCGCGAACAAGGTAAGTTGCGAACAACTATCTTGCGCCAGCTGCTGATAATCGGTGCTAGATTAGGTATATCCAACGGCAAATTGCCTTGGCTGTGGCCTGGTGCAGTCGGTCATTAAAGCTGCTACCATGGCTTATTCATAATTGATCCTGGTTAGTACATTTCCATCTCCAGGATAATTCGGAAGGCAACTAAACATAGTCAAGTCACTGTAATGAAATTAGGTATTTTCCCCCGATGCTATGCTCGATGCAGCCGCCCGCCGACCGAATGCCTCCTCGCTTTCACCACCGAATCGCACGTACCCGCCGGCAGAAGTAGCCTCGCCGGACCGGCCAGTCGATTGCCGAGACGGTCACAATGGCGCAGTTGTTATTAGTTATTTGAAAGATGCAGGTCGGTTTGAGATATATGTGAAGAAGACGTTCTCACTGACATCGATCGTAGCGGTTGATGTTACTCTCAGTCTCAGGCGTGGCATGTGTGTTTTACGCGACGCGTAAGTGCACCCAGCCTTTGCCCGCCGTAGCATGTTTCTGGTGCGGCAGGTCCTCGACGAACATCAATTTCAATACCGCCGGTTGCTGACTTTGGCGGGCATGTCCAATCGACTCCGCACAGGTGGTTTCACCACTTCCATTGGAGATCAGCAAAAGGTAAAATTTAAATCGTAGAGCGAATACTCGGGAAATGGTTCGAAAAAAAAAAAGCGGGCTTTGAGTTCAGGCGGACCGCATGGACGGGTTCTGATGTACCCTGCGGGAATCGAACCCGCTACGTTACAGAAAGCCAAGTGAAATGCCACTAGACCACGCAAAGAGAAGGGTTGCCGGCGCCAATTTTGCTTAACTATAGCCACTAATTTACAAATAATCATACCCGCCCGTTCTTCTGGGCACACATCCGGCAAGATCAGCGTTTCGGGGCTCTAGAAATGGCTTTCATTCGATCAGGCCGACTCCAAATAATAACTGAAAATTGCTTGGAAGAATGAGGCTTTCTATCGCCCGTACCCCAATGGTTCTTTGCCAGTTTACCCCGATCATGTACATAATAGAAATGGTCTAGGGATATATATTGCAGAGTATCGAGTCAGCATTCGGGAATACTACATCAGATATTGAACAGAATATGGTCAAAGAGCACGCGACGAATCTCGAGCCGAGAGAATGTCACACAGAAGACCGACCGGAGGAAATACTACCATCACGAATCTGATATTTAGAAATCATCGTTTCGCACTGTTTCTCAACTTTTGCATATGGAACAAAGACCCTCACTATGACGGGATGGGTGTTTACTGTTGGCCGCCGCTTCACCGCCCGGGAGTCACCCGCGCTGCGCATCACCATGTTGATTCACGATTCACTGGTTCGGTCCCCATTACGATCATCACCATCTCTCAACCGTCACTCACCTCTAACCCTCACTCACCTCTAACCCTCACTCACTAGCCCTCACTCACCAGCCCTCACTCACAACCAGACCTCACCATCAATACGCCAGCACCATCAATACGCCAGCACCATCAATACGCCAGCACCATCAACACGCCAGCACACCACCCACTCACCGTCGAAACTCCGCATCTCCCTACATCCAGGCAAACCCTGCTGCCACTCCAGCCAGCAGGGACAAATACCCAAACCAATAGAGACTACTTGAATTTCAGCCGCCACCCCAAGTGGCCATCTCACTATCAGCCATGAGTCGATGCTCTAATTCACACTACGCGGAAGAGAATGTCTATTTCTGAAGCTCAGGGCGTGGTTGAGCGCTACAAAATGGATTGTTCGACATCTACATACAATAGTGAAAAGTCATTCTAAACCATGTCTTGCTGGATTCTTGATTCTATCGATTCTTTGGAGCAGGTCTTGGCTTCTTCGAGGACTCCCCCGAATACTAGTCTCTGACACCACGAAGAGGCGCCTGCAATCGCCAGAGGATCAGGACGAGGACCGCGGCGCCACGGGTCGCCTAATGAGCGCAAATTTGATAACGCAGGGCTCAAGGCTGCATGGAAGCTCAAGATTATACAATCACAGGGCTCAGGACTGTGAGGGAGAACTTGGTGTCGCAGCGGTCTCCTGCGGAGGTTCTTGGTAACGCAGGCGTCCCTGCGGAGCACATGTTTACAACGCAGGGCTCATTGCTGCGAGGGAGCACGTTTTTACAGTCACAGGGCTCATGGGCTGTGAGGGAGCACGTTTTTACAATCACAGGGCTCATGGGCTGTGAGGGAGCACGTTTTTACAATCACAGGGCTCATGGGCTGTGAGGGAGCACGTTTTTACAGTCACAGGGCTCATGGGCTGTGAGGGAGCACGTTTTTACAGTCACAGGGCTCATGGGCTGTGAGGGAGCACGTTTTTACAGTCACAGGGCTCATGGGCTGTGAGGGAGCGCGTTTTTACAATCACAGGGCTCATGGGCTGTGAGGGAGAACTTGTTGACGCAGCACTCTCCTGCGGGTCTCCCTTGGTTTCGCAGCGTCCCCCTGCGGAGGCTCTTGATGTCGCGGAGGTCCCCGCGGAGCACATTTGTACAACACAGGGCTCATTGCTGCGAGGGAGAACTTGTTGACGTAGCACTCTCCTGCGGAGAACTTGGTGACGCAGCGGTCTCCTGCGGAGAACTTGGTATCGCAGCGGTCTCCTGCGAGGCAAACTTGATCACGCAGAGCCCGTCCTGCGAAGAGTACTTGGTAACGCAGATCTTACCTGCAAAAGACACCCCAAGGCTGCGAGGCCCGGAGTGTGAGGAGGAAAGTCCTACTTTTCTTTTCGACAGGAAAAGAGCGTCTTTTATGCTATTCGGAGTAGGGGTTTCGGCAGCGACCACTTGCGTACATTTTGCCGGACCCAGAGAATTTGACTTCAAATTCGCACCGGGCGACCCTAATTTCGTGGGTGTTGAGGCGGTTTATCAACGTTGAAATAAGAAATTTCAAGAGTTTGGAGCGGAGAGCGGGTGGAGTGGCTGGATCCACCTGGAGCCGTGGTCGGCATGATGCGATGCGTGACAAATCATTTGCCTCATCAACATTGATTCACCCAGCTTAAACGGCCTGCAACGCACTTGGTATGAGGTTTAGACTGAAGTGGCATGCCATGGGCTACTCGCCATGGCAACTTCATTTTTCGTGGCACCAGAAGTCTGCCAATATTCGCTCGCACCGTGGTCAATCGATTTGCGAATCATTGGTCTCAACATTGCTCAACGATGTGAAACGGTTTTCACGCAGCTAATAAGTAGAGTCGTTCCATGGAAGACTCGCCTTGGCAGATCGATTGCCCGTCCGCGGAAATCTTCGCCAGCAAAACTTTTGCTCTCGCCTTCGTGAGAAAAAAATGCTTTCCTCAGCGTAGCCGACACATTTTCCGCCGCGAATCGCAGTTACAGTACTGCAAGGCCCCATACCGCCCAAATATTTATTTCATTTGCCAGCACAGGATGACCAGGGTACTTTGTGTGCCCACACCCACAAACCGACGGAGAAGGTACCATCGATGAAGATATGTCGACGGCGCCTCCGTCGTCGGAATATGGTTTCATCGCGTGCTTTGATCATTAACCTTCACTTTTTATTCTTGAGAAATCCTCGGAATCATCTATCATTCAAGAGCATTGCAGAGTGTCAGTCAATTCCAATACCTAAGACTGTCGTATACTAACGAAAATCATCGCTATCTAGGTTCTGGGCTGTTGAGAACCTGGAAGCGGAATGACCCGACCCGCTCATGTTTGCAATCTATGCTATTGGACAGACTGATTCACTGGCGCCATCAAACATACAGTTCCTCATTAAGTACGAGACTTGTTTGACAAAACTCTTTTCTGAGATTCGGCCATTCAGTTCTCCCTGCCCCCTGTTTCCTCCCTCCTTCCCTTTCCTTCAATACTTTGCTTTCACCACCCAGCTCTCTACACAAGAAACTGCATCAGAAGGCGACTTCTTGCACTCCAAAAGAAATGACAGCACTTCTGCTGGGCTGAATACTTGATCCGGTACTTTGCTGGCAAAATCACGAGCGAACGCTTCGATGGTCTCATCATCATATTCCTCGTTGCATTGGTTTTGGTTCGGCATTTGCTTGAAGACCGTGCGGAAGAGTTGAGTAGAAATGTTTTGATCGGCGAGTTTGAAATGGATCTTCTTGTCTGAACGGCCAGGCCGAATCAGTGCTTCGTCCAGATGTTCGATATGATTCGTGGTCATGATGAGTATCCGGCCCTCTTGAGATGAGACACCATCAAGCACATTCAAAAGGCCTGATAGGGTAACTGCCGATTTTGACTCGTTCTCGTGGTCTGCGTCGACGCTGTCTCTGCGCCCTACCCCAGCGGTATCCACGTCCTCTAAGAGGACAATACAATGCGGCGGGAGCTCAGAAAAAAGCTTCATTAGTGTACTGTCTGAGATGTTCGACAACTGAAGCGTATAAATATCCAATCCATGCTTCCCTGCGAGTGATAGGCTGAAGCTGGATTTCCCCGGTTCCAGGTGGTCCAAAAAGAAGATAGCCTCGTTTGTAGGGAATGCCCCGTTCTGCGTACCAGCCTTGCATATCTTGGTCAAGGAACTCGTCCACATCCTTTAATACGTCACTCTTCAACTCGTTGTCCATAATGACCGTGGAGATAGGTCGAACAGGTCTCAATCTGGCTTTCTTCCACTCCCCGTCGCGATGTTCGAAGACAGAGACTTTTCTCTGCGTGTCCTTGAGATACTTTTCTCGGCACTCTTCGATCAGACTTTTCAGGATGTTGGCATTAAGACCAATGGAGGAGATACGGAGATCCTCTCGATGCTCTTTGACATGGCAGTGAAGAACGAGCAAATGCCCCTTATACCAGAAGAGAAACGATCCATCCCAAGGAGAAAAAGTCACAGGCTTTTTCTTTGTCGAATAAACGTTACTTGTCCGCTGCGTGGACCTCACCCGAGCGATCAATGAATGAGCATTGTGGACAAATGGCTGGTCAGCTATCCAATCAACTAGCATATCGTATGCTTCGTCGTAGTAAGAGACATAGATTGTCGAGGCTTCAGAATGTCAGACTCATCCTATCATAACAGGAGGCATACGAACTGAAGTAACTTTTCACTATATCCCAAACATAGCGGACAGCATAACGGGCGAAGAGGACAAATATTCCCAAAGTGCAAAACAGTCGAGTGTAGCTGTCTAGGTTACCAGCAAGCAACTGCTGGGCGGAGGCAGAGAGCACACCGAGCCCGGGGAACATAACATCCATGAGAGACATCTGGGGAGGGCTGTGATAGTTTACGCCTCCGTTGATGGCGCTCATTGTGGATCAAAAAATTTATAATTTATAAAGAATTGATAGATGATAATGTAGATCTTTAAGTTCTTGAGAATATTGGGCTGTCCAAAAATCCAGAAATTGCCGCCTCTTATATCTGACTCGGTCGAATGTCCCCTCAATTCTTGCCTCTACTGTAAGAATGTTTTCGTGCAGGGCTACATGCATATCAAAGGAGATGCGGCGTTAACTCGCATGATGCTACTTCGAATTGCCCTGTTTAGGCAGACTGTAAATCGAGGCCCTGGCATGAACGTAACCGCATGTGGTATCGGGCGGTGCCGGCACGTGCCGTCGGCAATAAGCAAACAGACGGATTGAGTGCAGTTAGCCCCGTTTTACCCCTCATTGTAAGCAAATCAAAGGCTGATGCAACAGCACTCTGCGACTGGCCCTTTTTCTTTATCTCTTCCTCCATTTTCTTCCTCCATTTCTTCCTCCATTTCTTCCTCCATCTCTTCCTCCATCTCTTCCTCCATTACTTCCTCCATTTCTTCCTCCATTTCTTCCTTCATCTCTTCCTCCATCTCTTCCTCCATCTCTTCCTCCATCTCTTACCCCATATCTTCCACTATGGTTCAGGCTGCCAAGCGGCCGCGTTCTCGGAAATGTCTAACCAGTGTAGAAGCCTGGGAGAGAATAGAGTGTGTCGCCCGCAGACTAAGCACGACCTGGCGCCTTGGGGATAGAGAGTCCAAGCAAGTTTCAGCTGCATTTTTCCTACTAAATCGCCCATCAGAATCTACCGGTCATCACAAGTATCGCCATTTTCTTGGCCTAGTGCATCAAAAATGTGGACCGCAGGCTGTACGCTTATGTGCTGTGGCCCTTGGCCAAAACAAAGTCAGAGATATGAAGAATGCCCACCGCGACGCGCTGATCAGGAAGATGAGTGAGGATCAACATCGGACATTAATAAACAACCAATCGTTTCCAAGCCTTGCGGATGGTACTGAAGCAGTATCCATCTCAGAGGGTAAGTACTGAGGTTTCTTTTTGCTATAATGCTCTGATTTCTGAAAAAAAGAAATAAGCTGAACTTAGAGCGGCTATCCAAAGACAACCGCTCTAACGAGAGCGAAAATCGCCGGATGTCGCCAACAAATGAGGGAATCATCTCTCGACCTTTCAACGGGCATGGAGGAGTCGATCTCGCTTCTACTTATCGAGTGAACTTGGAGCCTGAACTCTTTCATAATGATGGCAGTCATGAGCAAACCTTAACTTACCGTGAGATTTCGTTCCTCTTACTTTCTTTACTTTGCTATTTTCTGATCAAAACCCAATAGATCACCATGAAAGCCTCGCATTTGAAGATCATTCTGTACCCAATCCAAGCTGTCATGCTTACCAAGAGCTGACGAATCCCCACGCTGGATTTTCACAAGACAAAATTCAAGAAAATACAGACATCACCAACACACAAGAAATATTTGAACATGCATCCATCAGCGGCATTGCTGCTGTTTTCGAAGGTCTCATTTGCGGAGCCATCAGAACAACTTCTCTGTTTGTAAACGGAACCAGCCGTTCAAAGGCATCAGTGACAACGGTGTTTCCTCCTTGGGGCGCAGTCGACTGTTTACTGAGTCTCGATATTTGTGAAACAAGCGTGGAACCTTTAGCGATGGCTTTATTTAATGCAACTGTGAGATGGGTGAAAGAGTCTCTACATATTGGCTTCTCAGGGGGATCAAGTCTGACCTTACCCAACTCCGAGGTCACTCTGAAAGGTGTGCATGATGAAGTTATTGCCCAGGTGTTTGGTTGCGAAATACAACAGGCAATAAATCAGAGCCGTATTCGCATACAAGAGATGGAAAAGGGTAATTTGATGACTGAATGTGTGTCGATGATAATCACTGAAAAGGGGGCTATCATCAGCTTATCGCTCGGTCTCATTCAAGGGCTAGAAATACAAAAGAAGCTATATACATAAATTGCAATCATTCTACAAAAAGTCCTTCAAAATTCTTCTTTCACTTTTCCCTTGGTGATGTATAACTTGACACCATCTGGAACGACGCCTTGTCCATTCCGCATGTCAACAAGTTTCCTTGTCTGTTCCTGCCCTTCATCATCAATCTCGTAAACAGTCACATTACTTCCTTGCCAGTACACAATTTGACCTTTCCCAACAATCATTGTCACACGATTCTCGGGCACGTTGTTGAAGTCTATGGAAGAAACGAGCGACTTCTCTTCGAAAGACTAGCGACGTATTAGTCTTAAGAATGGAGATTCCGTATAACCTACATACCATTTAGACACTTATCGAGTAGTGACACGCAGGGGAACTTTCAGGACAACAGTGTTGGTCTTGCACGACGGAATTGGATGAGCCAAAATGCTCACTGCCCGGACGCGTCGGGCACAATGGAGAAAAAGCAGAGGGCTAAAGCGACAAGTCTAAGCCGTAGTCCAGTAGATAAAGTGTTTCATAAGGCGCGTCCACAGTTCTTGTTGCAGCTGATATTCAACGTGTCTGCGTTGGTTTTGCAGGTGGGGGAGTCATGGTTATCGTTGAAGAGGGGTGGAAAAAAGAAGTGCCTTAAAATCCCGAGTGAAACCGATGTGGGGTATGGTCACGTGGTGATTCCTAGATGGGTGCCCCACGTTGGGCAGCGATACAGAGCTAGATATTGTTGAGGGCTCCCCAGTCAGATTCTTGAGATAGTTCCATGAGATAGTTCCATTCCTGTAGCGGTTTATAATAATGGGATTGAAAAAGTATTGCCGAAAATATATTCTCTGGATCTTGAAACTAAAGACACGGCTCATGTACGCCGTTCCCGGATGTAAAAGGCCAGTATCATCATCATGCTAGCGATGCAGTATATGAAAATATGATCTTGACCAGACAAGTAATATCTGCTTTTTTTCTCGTTATCTTCTTTATTGCTACCTTGTCCACACGATGGCAGCTTCCATCCGTTACGTGCCAGTCGTCGATGCATACCTTTGCTTATAATCGATTCCAGAAAGCAATGGTGAAAGTCAGCATTTTCCGATGATAGCACTTGAATCATCATCGATACTACTGTTGGTGTTTTCTGGCATCGAACGGAGGCGATGTACATCTCCCGGTCTTTCAGAAGGGTAGAACTTGGGGCTATATCAAGGTCCTGGAGGTGGAGAAATCGGGGGAAACAGGCTGCCTGTTGGAAAGGCACCTTTGACGAAAATCCCCAATCGATAATTCTTGAGCAATCAGCACCTTGGCTTCAACCCGTGAAAAACCCCTCACTTACCCTGTGACATTGTGCTGTGCATCTATAAGTATATTTCGTGGTGATAGATCGCCATGGGCAATAGCGAAAGGTGCTTCGTCAAGTTCAGGTAAAAGAACATTGGAGAGGATATTCATTTGGTCAGAACAATCCTGTTCCGTGATTTCTGGAAGGACACCCTCGCGGACTCGACGGGTCTTGTTTTGGATTATACGGGTAAAATGCTTTAGGGAAGATCCCCCTGAAATTGTGAGCAAGGTTTGGGCTGAACCAGAAAGATGTTGAACATACTGGTCTCCTTAGTGCATTCAATCAGTGATGTGTGCAACACCGCAACTTGATACAAGATTTTATTCCGAAGAGTTCGCGTCGGAATTTCATCGGACCATGAAAGCTGGCTGCCCGGAATCCATGTCAATGCGATGAATGGATATTCGATCGCATTATCGAATGTGAGACTGCGGCCCCGGAGCCTTGCAGCCCATGAAAACCCCTTGAATTCCAGCTCTTCAAGAATATGAGCTTCGGACTCAAGAAGCTGGATAACAGTGTCCTGTGAAGCATGGTGGACAAAAAGAGGCACTCGTACAGCCCAGCTCTCGCCGTCAGCAAAGGTCACCTTGAATACGCGACATTGGCCACCATCAAAGTACTGACGAAAGGTAGGAATTTCTTTATCGCTTCGAAGTTGAGATATGGCGATGGGAATAGTATTCTCATAGAAAGACTGTTGCTGCATGATTTCAATGTGAATGTGGATGGCCTGACCGTGTCACTGTGGTGTTTAAGTATTTTCTGGGTCCGAGCTTCCGTGACTGGTAATCGTGGCTGTGCTTGGTGGCTTTCCGCCACAATCCATTACTTTGTATTGCCGGCCCATTAGATCAAATTACTGAGACCGTCCGTATCCATAGAAAGAACCATTACGTGAATTCCGCACGTGCACTGCAAGGTTTCACAAACTACACACTTAGCTGCGATATTAGAAAGAAACTTATGCCCAGATTGTAAAAATATCAACACTACAGCATTCGTTCCCGCAATGGACCAAAGGCAATTTTTTTGTATAGTATATAGAGCTAAAGCTAAGTGTATTTAAGGAAAGGAACGTGACGCAAGCTGTCACAAGCTATCATAACTTTTGTCATATTAGACAAAAGCAGCAAAAACTTACGGTACTACTGCCGTCCCTATCCAGACATGGTATAAATGTGAAGTCCATGAGGGTGATCAGGACTGCTTGCATTGCAGGTGCATCGACATCCACGAGTCCAGATTGGTTCAGAAAAAAACCAAGCCGTGTCCACAGCAATTAGGTCTTTTGGCCACTAGATTCAGGTTGAGTTAGTTACCGCCTCACGGTACATCCTGATTTCACTTACATCATTTGGTTTTAGGTTGATGTTGGCTCTTCCATGAGTGATTTCACACAAACCATTGAAATCGTCTCCAGGATATCGGCAGAGACCAAATGATTGGGTGACGTTGTGCTCATGAAGTAATTCTTGAAAGCGCTTCATGAAACCTAGTTCGTCCTCCCCAATATTCAAGTCTTTCCCCTCCGAGAAGTAGAACTCAGTCGGTCTGAATTCACCATCAGATGAGACTGCCCAGATGGCAGATTGGGGAGGTTTCATTCCAGATACATGGCCCGATTTCCAAGGTACAGATGTACCTTCATAATCAACAAGCATCTCATCAGGCTCGAGGTCAAAATGACGGTGAAGCATGGCCAGACCAAACGTGCGATCCATGCTCTGCTCAATGAAGAATTTTTTGAAGACATCTTTCACAAGGTCATCGCCATTCAGCTCCATGAAGTTGGTACGTGCAACCTCGAGGGAAGGAAGGGTCTGAAAATGGTCGACAGAGTATTCACCGATGGACATAATAGGCAAGAAAATTTAACTCAACAAGCTAAGAATTTAAAGTCGAGATAGACTGATTTGATGAGCCAACGATGAGTTCTCTTTGGGGACTTGCTGTTGCCTGTAGGGAGAATTTTGCCTAACAACGGGGAAACTCCACCTTTTATAATCTTCGGAGTCGCATTAGTTCGTTGAATCATTGAGGCATATTGCATATTTACAGCTTTCAACACCTTTTCTGACACGTCTTGTTGTTCATTATGAACCCTATAATCTGCACCAAGACTTTCAACTTTCTGACAGCTGCAGGACGGAAGTGGGGCTGCATAGGGTGTTGGACCACTCAAATATCGGACGTCTTCCTCCATTTCTTCCTCAATTTCTTCCTCCATTTCTTCCTCCATTTTCTTCCTCCATTTTCTTCCTCCATTTCTTCCTCCATTCTTCCTCCATTTTCTTCCTCCATTTCTTCCTTCAATTCTATCTTCCTCTATCTATATGTCGACCCTCGTGTCAGGCATCTATAATTGTGCCACCTTCTCCACTATGGTTTTGTCAATGGCTCTACGATAAGACAAGATAAAGAGGATATATAAATGGAAGCAGAAAATGGAGAAAGAAAATGGAGGAAGAGATGGAGGAATTAATGGAGGAAGAAAAAGCTGCCATTTCCCCCCCTTGAGGCGTCATAGTGACATGGTTTGGCTTAGTAGCACACCCGGTGATATGGTTAAGTGGATGATTGGACGAAGAGGAAATATCCGTCTCGCTGGAAGGCGTAACTTACTTCTCGATCAGTTAGAAAAAGCAATACCAAGGCAGCTGCAATGTATTGAGTTTATGGAAGAATCCTTCTAGCCAGATAATGAAAATTCAGTACATTCTTGTATATATTTAAAATGGACACTAATCGTCTCTAACTTAGGAGAAAAACTCAAATGGATCCTGAGCTGTTATTCCAGCTGACTGTGTCGGCGATAGCATCGATTTGCTGCGGGTCAAGTCTTGCCCTCTGGCTCATGTCGATCAAGGTCCTGAGCTGGCATAGACTGGAAAATAAACCACTCATCGCCGCTCAAGCTGGTATAGGTGCTTTCGTCTTCGTGGGATCACTTATATCTGTTCTGCTATCAATTTTGAGAGCAAACCTTAAGACCAGTAGGTTGCTTCTTTGGCCAATACAGCTTCCTCTCTAATTATATATCAGATCTGCCTTGGCTGGTACTGCAGCTGGAAATAAGCATACTGCTTATTCTGATCATTTTGAATGAAGTGAGTGTAATGAATTAGAAGGAGAGCGATACTGACGTCTGCCAGTATCTATGTGTTTCTAATCTACAACATTGGGCAGCACATATGATATCTGCCTTATTATCCTTGGGTGCGGCCACAATTCTATTACTTTCCGTCTATTTTCCGGTGCGTTTCAACTGTGCTCTACATGTTGTATGTCCTTTATTGACCTTAAGATGCAGGAACAACGCAGCATGTTGTTTAATTCATTTATCATCATCGCTTTTGCTGGCCTCAGCTTCATCAATGCCCAAATTATTAGGGCGTGGGTCATATGCATGAGGCCATGGCGTGTGGATACAAGTACATTCAAATCATTTTGGCAGTATCCGTGTCCGGCAGCTGCCAGTCACCAACGAGTTTTGTGGATAGCGTCCGCTGGCTCTGTAATATTGTTTTTTGTTTCTTTAGGCTTGACGATACTTGCCTGTGTTCAAACTAACCTACAGACTCAAATTATGACGGTATATATTTCTTTCCACTTAACAATGGTCATAACCTGCTCACATACCACATAGATCCAAATCGCCATAACAAACCTAAGAAAAGTGGCCATTTCATCTTACCTTCTCCGAGCTCCCCATAACAACACGAGCGTATTACATTCGCATGAACACGCTAAAGTATCTGAGGAGCTCACAAGCAGCCTTGAGTGATCTGCTTACGGGATCAAATCTTCTTCTCAATGAGCTAGTCAATGTTGGAGACTACTTAGCTCACACCTCTCAGTGAGAGCTGCATTCAGAGAGACAGTAATACTCATTATACTGTATTGTCTAGTGTCCTCCACAATGGAAGTATCGGTTTAGATGTACAGTACATATGCGCGTATCTCAGCGCAAGTATCTGAATAAATGCGTCGTATCAAATTGTAGCTGGCATAATATACGTAAAGATTAGAAGATCATTCCGACTGGATTCGTTCAGTTGCCTCTTCGCACGATGGCCATCTTCTAGCATCTGGATCCGATGACCAGACTATTCGACTCTGGGACTTGGCAACGGGCACACTAAAGAATACTCTCGAAAGCCATTCAGACTTGGTTTTTTCAGTGGCTTTCTCGTGCGATGGTCGCTTTGTAGCATCTAACTCCTTTGATAGAATCGTTCGGCTTTGGGATCCAGCTACAGGCGCTCTGCAGCAGACTCTTGAGGTCCATTCAGACGGCGTTCGCTCCGTCGCTTATTCACATGATAACCGGATACTAGCTTCTAGATCCTTTGATCTGCCTCTCCGCTTGTGGAATCCGCTCATGGGCGCCTTGCAGAAAGTACTGGAGTCCAAGGAATAGTAACTGATCTAAAGTTTTCTGAAGACGATTTGTATCTTGAGACTGACCTGGAATACCTCAAGATCCAGCCACCGCCAGACACGACAGGCCCAAATGAACCTGATGACAATATGTTCTTTATTGAAGGCCAGTGGGTAAACTTTGCAGGTGAATACGCACTTTGGCTTCCTCCTGAATATCGGCCCGATCCCTCAACAGGGAAAGGCAATGGGCTTGCCTGGGGGCTCGAGGGAGAATGGCTGGAAGCTCGAGGTACTCCTAGAACCCTATATGTATAGTCTCATATGATTGGTTACCTTTTTTTCCTTGCTTCACTTTGGAGTAACAAGTTAACGTACTGCGCATCTCTTGGAATTGATGTCCCCAACTCACTTGGTAGATAAATTAGTTGTAGCCGAATGAAATAGAATGCTCTTCTTTTAATCTCAAGCTTACCGTCGAAGGGCACCATTGTTAATTACATTTCAATCCTCCGGCATCAGACTACAGAGGTCGGGCTTAAGTGGTAAGATGTTACTGGGTGATAAGTGGTACACAAGCATTCGAGGGTTTTTATAGCTCAAACTGGGGAGTAACGGTCGACGGTTTGCCTGCGCCGAGGCGGACCGTATCGTTGTCTTAATAACGGTTCGGTAGCCTTGCTCTTGATATCCGTCGCAGAAAGACCATCGCTTCTACCACACCGGCTCTTAAGGCGTGTAGAATACCGCACCTGTAGTGAGCCCACTGATCTGTTAGGGAAACATTCTCCAATTTTTTCCACTTGAATCCTTTCTCTTCCTTCAATTCGATCAAAAGCTCGTCGTCTTTAGACAGAATTCGAGCTGGCCTAATTGATTTTCCAACCTGGTGGTTTTTCTGCCCAGGTAACTTTCTGCGTTGAGCTTTACGCTCACAATCTGGTGGAGTCTCATCGGGTTCCTGCAGGCAGGTGTGCTCTGTTCGCTCCTCAAAGGTAATTGAATAAACAACCTTCGACAGAAGTGTTTCCCGTGTCAGGAAACCTCGAATGGGAATTGTCTCTATATCGGATAGACTAGATATGGGATGCCGATCCGTCGGCATTTGGGGGTGGGACTCCTCATTTTTTGAGGCCCGAGAAACGCGACGTTGCGAGGGGAGGTTGTGACGAGTATTTTTGTTATGCCGTATATGAGCAAGAGAGCTTTGTACTGCCGCCCGCCCAGCTCTTTTCGATCGTTTGGGTAGAATAGAGCTCTCGCTGACATCGTCCGCATCATTAGCGTCACTAGAGCCGTCGCTGCAGCTGCCGTCATGTGATGACGCTAATGGGCCTCGCTTTCTTTTTGGACGGGACGTTGGGGCTAATAATGCGATTTCCCTCATGTCCCGCTCTCCGAGACGTGAAATGGTGATGACGACAGATTGAAGCTCGGAGACTGAAGGCAAATTTGCATCTTTATCGCTTTGGTTGCATTTTGACTGATCTTCACCACGCTGTGATGTAGGTGACATGGAGATGGAACGACGCCCTGATGAGCTGATTCGATTAGGCTCACATGATGTCGACGGGATTTCGATTTCTTTGTGTGAAAGCTCGATCTCAGCATCAGTAAATACTGCTTCATTTGCCTCGGCTTGAATACTCTCGCAGAATTCTGCAGTCGAGTGGCCACCGCATTCCTCCAGGGGTATTTCTTCACTGTTCGTGAAAGCTGGGGACTGTCTAAGCTCATCTAACCCAGCTTCAGCATCGCCAGTTGACGAGGCAACATCGCTAGACAGTAGACCAAATGAAGAATCAGGGTTCTTCTTTTCATCCATAGAGCTCAAAAAATGTGCGTTGATTGTTATATTGAGATCCTCCTTAGTGGTAGCAGACACAGTGGTACCGGAATCTTGCAAAATCCTGTCCTCCACTTTGGCCGAGTGTGCATACCAAGATTAAGTGACAAGCTAATAGTAAGATGACAATGAGGACTGACCTGCAAATATAGAAGGCGATGTTTTGTTTTCACTTTCTTTCGCTTCGACCGCGGGAAAAGGCTCATCTCCGGGCGATGCCAAGCTTGAAGCACTGGGACCTTTAACACCGTCTGGTTCGCCAGGATGTTGTAAAAGAGATATGTGAGTGCCCTGGCGCCACCTATAATCCTGACTCCCTGCTTGCAATAAATCGAGTTAGCCCTTTAATCGTCTAATCTGCTTTCCGGGCGGGATAGGATATAGAGAAAATCGATCTCTGAGACGTAATGTTGAGTTGACAACCTGGGTAACGAGATGCAAGAAAAGAAGAACATCCGACGCTGGGCTTGGGGCTCCATAGGCAAAGGGTAGACTTAATCCATAAAACAGAAACATCATAGCTTGGCACAAACAAACAAAGCCAGGCAATTCTTCGTGTTCAGCAATCTGTTATATTCGAAGAGCTGCTTGAGTCCGAAGAAGTCGTCGGGGCCGCCGATGGGCCTGTCACAGACACATGGATTGTTGTGGTAGACAAAGAAGTTGGTTGGGATTTAATGCCTTGCGTCGAAGACCTTGTATTATTGCTGGCGGTGCACAAGCTCCCCTTTACTAGGGCCTCCGCGACCTTGCAATTCGCCTCGTCCCCTTTTTCATTATGGAAATTGAGCAAGCCGCTTCGTTGTACCTCAACCCACGCGGAATTCTGACTGGAGCCACATAACATGGCTTTGACCGACGACAAATTGTTATATGTGTGCACTCTAGCAGTGTAAGGCAAAAAATTCCGTAATTTTTGTGAGCTTTGGGACGTTGCGGTAAGCTGCACAGGTGCTGAGAATTGATGAGGTAGCGACGGAGAGAAAACTTTCGCTTAGTCGGAGATTTGTAAGGAGGATCAAACGCGCAAGGGCAGGTTGCACCGCAATAGCGACACAGTGGACGCTACCCGACCGTGATATAAGAGTTGAGATTAAATGGATATCACATTCAGTCGCCGGAGAAGCCGCTCAGCGCATTGCAGCCAGGATTATGATCATATGCGTGAGTCCCATCTTGATTCTGGTTCACAAAATAGTACACATTGCCATAGGGGGCGGATTTGCTGGCTGACGGAGAGGGTGTGGTTCGTAGTTCTGAGGCGCTCTATGCTTAAAGCTGCCACTAACAACTGTTGTAGTTCAGAGGTTTTAATTGTGTTATTTATTCAGAGGGAATACAGGAGGCTATATATACAACGAGAAGGTCAAGTTGATTTGCAATCAACTTGATTCTTCGTATATGCAACCCGGGATTATTTCCGACGTTGCGGTTTTGTTCCTGGCCTGCGCAAGCCTCATATCACAACAACAACACCGACCGAACTCTGGAAGTAATCAGCTGAGGCAGCATAGCCTAAACCTTCAATCCAGTCAACAACGGAGTTTATAGTGACCCAATCATGCGAGAAGTACAATGCTTCATAAGATCCAATACTTGTTGCCCAGTCTCCAACCCCAAGGGAGCAATCGCAACGCCACAAGACTAAAGCTTCCAGAGATAGGGCGGAAACAGGAGATTAAACTTTCCGATTGCTAGGGAATATCATATTCGGATGCTTCAGGTCCATTTCAGGAGATTGAATTTCCGAGTCATTCACATGCGTCTTGACATGATTCTTCAAATCCTGGGGGCGCTTGTAAGAATCATCACAGACATGACATTTGTGAGGCTTAAAGGGCACATGGGCCCGGACATGGGATGTCATATGGTAACGCTTGGTAGCAACAGCATTGCAATTGCCCCATTGGCATGCTAAGCTGGGGGTTTTGGTGATATTGCGGCCAACATGCCACCCGCAGAGGTGCTCCTGTGTCGCAACAACAGTTAGACCTTTTGGAGACAAATTATCAGCCGAAGAGCTTACATATAAGGCCTCCGCAGTGAAAAAAGTTTCGCTGCATCCAATCCATTGGCAGAGCAATTCATGAAAGTTATCTGTGGACGTGCCATTGACAGCCATAGTAATGGGTCTGGTACGGACCGCCGTTGAGGGCATCGAGATTGCAATTGTCTGGATAGGCGCGGCTTGTCCAGTTTCCACGACAGAGGCGGAATTCACCGAGGTCTGCGCGTTATTAGAATAGCTGAATTTTTTTTCTTTTTGTCATGGCGCCAAAAAAAACTATGCTGACAGAAAGCCTCTGCAGAAGTTCAGATGAGCAATGAGGTTGGGGCGAAACCCGCGAAGCCCAAAGAGTAGAAATCAAGCTAATCAAGGCCTCTTACTCTTAAAAATGCGGTGGGGTGGGAAATTTAATATCCAGCAAACGTGGTCCATTTGTGAACGAGTAAGTCAGGTGAGAAATTAGGGAGAAGGGAACATGGGAACATGCCAAGCGAAGTGAGCATCAGCGGATCTTGAAATGGGGGGGGGGGGCCATCGTGGGGCCAACCGCGCCGAACGCGTTCCGCGGGACCGCGGGAAGGATAAGGCAGAGAATTTACGTGGCGTAACGCGTCGTTCCCTGAGTCGCGTGGAACGCATCTGCGGCTACGTTCGAAGTCAATAAACACGTCTTCTCATTCTGATATCAGAAAGGCCTTACATATTTGAGGTTAGCAAGACACACCTTGATCTTCACGGCAATTGGCCGAGCATGAGCATCATGAGTCTGCTTCTGCCGGCAAGTCCATGCCATTTGGTGGTGACGCCGAGCAGGCATTCTGAGCATAACGACGTGGTGCAAGATAGGTGCTCGCCTCTCGCCATGCTCGTGGCCTGGATGAGACCCCTTATATCAGCCATAACACATTCTCCCGGTCGTACTCGCGGGAACAGCCGAACCAGGGCTGTTTCACCACCTCTCCCTGTCAGCATGATTTCTGGTTGTTGTTGTTGTTGTTGATGTTGTTGTTGTTGTTGTTCAGAGGAATATTATTGTTGATTGTGCATAAGGAATGACAGAGACTATATAGAGCTTCCTCGAGATTAATTTCGATGGTTCGGCTTGGTTCGTGATATGCACCAGCCTCATGTTACAACACTGGTGACTGGGAGTGGCGTAGACTTGCCGTCAGTGCAGTCTGGCATCGGCATAGGCAGAACAGGGATGAAATGGCAAGCTTCCGCTCGGTCATACTTGGACTAGGCCTAGGAATCACTTCGTACCCCGGGGAAAGGATAAGGGGCCACATTTTCCAATGCATAGGTGTTTCGTATTCGATATACGAGCGCCAGGTGAATCCCTAATCATATCAGGGCAAGGCATCATTGGCGGACAGACTCATGGTATTTGTTTAAGGAAAAACCAGGAACTGACCTGAGAAGAATTGCTCTCGCGCGAGGAATCGGGGGTGGATCTAAGCCGCAGCTGTCTGATAGCTTGTCCAGCTGAAACCAGGGCTTGAAGATCTGGCCTCAGACTAAGGCCAAAAAGTCGGTTCAATATGCTGGCCGATGCTATTCCCGGGAAAATCGTTACCTTCTTCGGTGGTCATCGATTCTTGGCCTCTCTTTGTTGTCGCGGATGCTCCGATGGCTCGCTCGGTCAACAGTGAGGCCGGCTCATGGCCACTGACAAGCCTTCGGATCGGACATGGGGCAGGAGGCTCATAGCCGTCAGAAGACTGCGAGTTGCTAATACATTGACTGTCAACATTTGTTCGGACAGGGTAATGCCGGAGAGACGAATGAAAACACATTGGAATTTTACTGCATGGCTAAGCAGAGGTCATCAAGCCTTTGAATTGGGCCCGCTAATAAGCCAGGTGAAGTGACTGTGTCAACCACGTCTTCAGAACAACAAAGGCGCAAGCGTAGTGAGATTCAGTGGCTTGGCCCATCAGGCCGATGCGGCTGGTGAGTTTCGAGGACTATGGGGATAGCTCGGTCAAGTCGAGGTTATATTGAAGCTCGCCCTATGAAGAAAAAGAATCATCAGCAATATTTTCTGGGGAACAGAGAGCTAACAACTGATAGCTATCGTACGAAAATCGAAATGCGGTACCGGGTGTTGGGAGTAGGCAGGGGCAAAGCACTATAGCGACTTACAAGATATCGAGCGACTTTAGATAAAAAGACTGCTATCCTATGAAGGAGCCGTCAGCACATAAAATCTGCTCGTAATTTTGCCGTAGTTTATGGACTTACATTGTTGCTTATTGCTGTCCACTGCTTCTGAAAGGGCCAAGGGAACTGTGGATGAAATATATTTGTCATCAATCATCAGTAGGCAGCTTAGAAAGGAAACTTTCAACTCACTGTGCTCACAGCTTGGATCATTCAGGATCGTGAAGGTTTGCTCAATGGGTTCTCGGAGGAATAGTGGAGGCGGGGCTGATATTCAGTATCTTCTGCATTAGCATGATTCCAAAAGACTGGGTTGCTACACTCACTGTTCGAAGACTTGATTATTGAGAAAGTCTAGGCTATTGCAATAAAAGAGCTCAGCTCATTTCATTGTATGATTTGGAGGTCAATCTCCATACCAAAAAGTAGCCGCAGAGACAAATTACGTCCGAAATTCTTTGATCCAGAATCACAAAGGGATGATCGTGAACGACTGTTCTGCTAGCGAGGGACCGGGTATTTATAAAGATTTAGCCAGGCATTCAGTCCTCGTCAATGAGATCATCACAATGAATTGTGAGGGCTCAAATATGAAATACTCTTCAATAATCACTGGCTCAACATTTCATCATTAGTTCAAAGCAGCTCTCAGAGACATTGCGTTTTGCGCCTGGTGATCAAGAACATGAAAAACGTTTTCCGGCTGTAGATATCGTTGAAACAGTCGTGACGATGTCGCAGTAAAGAACCGAGAACGTTTATCAACATTCAAAACCGTGAGTGCGCCCTTTATTGCGACGGGTGAGGTGACGAGTTCATCTCATTTCTTTTCACTCACCAGCGATGAGCCCGTTAGCCCACGCAACAGCAACTCACCAAAGGCAGGCAGACCACAGGGTTCTTCGTTGCCTACCTCGCATATCGGAGAAAATCCATCACACCTGCACAATAGCAAGTAGATACAAGCTATGGGACGGCACGGGACTGATCTGCACAGCCCCATCTCATAACAGGGTTTCTTGTACAGCGAGCCAGTCATTAGTTCGATTACGTTTTTGAAGATCAATCCTCTGCGGTCAGCCGCGTCTTTGCAAACGCATTACCCACATCAATCTCCTGGGAACGGATGCGGGTGGGTACTACTACTCAGAAATATAAGCCAATTAGTGCCACGAAAGGTCCACATGCGCACAAGCCTGCAATGAAATGATTGGTTGATAGTTGGTCTTGGCTCCCAGGAGACTGTGGGTCATAAATAAATATTGATGCGATCATTGGATACCACTAATAGAGCGAAGGAATAATGAATCAACCGGTGCCATGAATAACCCATATGTGCCATAAAGCCAGCCTAGAAATGATAGGTCCAAATTTGGCTATGAGCTCCCGGGAGCCTGAGCCTACCATTACACCTAACATAATTGGATAGCCCGTCAGAAATACCCACATCGAATTCCCGGGAACTAGGTGGATATGTGAAACTGGGTACCGCTGCAAAGAGGTATAAGCCAATCAGTGCCATGAATTTCAAAAATCTCCGAAGCTGAGTGTGGCCGCATAATTAGCAGGCTGCTTCATTTTTCATGAGGCATGGAATCTCGGTTTATCCTTACCTCTTTTCTATTTACACTAACCTCCAAAATGAATGAGGATAATTATAAGTATGGTGTCTTGCGTAATTTGAGCGCGCAATAAACTGAACCAGAATCCAATTGCAAATTAACAAGGGGCGTGCTTTTATAGTCCTGGCCCAAAAGACTTAAATAGGTTACGCTAGCTCCCACATTTCGTCTTCAAAAAGCACTGTGACTTTGAAGAAAAACATATCCTGCTTTTGTGGGATTGTTCTTCTCAACAACCAGACCGATATCATGGGAAGAGTTCTGAATCAGTTTACAAGATTTCGCAGAAATCATGGCACCAAAAAGTTCGAACTCAATCAAGTACCACTGTGCACGCCTCAGTCGTCTCTTGACAAGAAGATCTTTTACCCCAACTGGCAGCCTAGGCCAGAATGGAGACGTCAAAGAGGCCGTGACTTTGTTGGGAACCCTTGTTGGATTTTCACGAGCCCAGATGACCCAGACCTCCACCTTGACGAGATGCAACTGAAGCTCTACCGACACCTCTCCTTTCGTCCGGTATTCGAAAATTATAAGCTCGTTTACAAGCACACCTACGACCCTCCACTTGAATGCATCACCAGCCCAGCTGCTTTGGAAAACGCAAGACCTTATTGCGTCGGAGAATATCGGTAGTCACGCCATTCTCTGGAGCGAAGCCACCGTCAAACCTATCATAGCCTTTTATTTCTAAATGTAGCCCAGAAGTGGTCTACACACACATACAATTTATTAACACCAGGCGGTGCAGCTGAAAGGGCAAGTGGCACTAATAAATAAATACATACAGTATATGTTCGTAGCAAATGCCGTGTCTGCTCAGAGCCCATAAATACATGCTTTTCGTAGATGTCATCTCAGCTACCAATTTTGGGATGGTTCTTGTGGGTTAGTAATTTCTAGCTGGCTGGCTTGACAGTGCCTCTTCGAGTGTTCACATCCTATTTTCGGCAGTTGAAGCGCATCTTCCCATTATGGCGCGAGGAAATAGGTGCGGCTATTTGAGGGGAGTGCCTCATCTGTGTTGGTTGACATAGCTAGGCGGCGTCTAGTCGGCCCGTGGCGATTGCAAACAGTATTGAGGCTCGCACTGTTTCTAAGTTGGGCGTCAAATTTTGATCATCTGACGGCGATTTTGTGCCCAAGAAGAACTATATGTCGCTCCAGTGTGGGGTCCACTTCTGGTATCGAAAGAGGAAGTGCTGCACGGTCTCTCTTGTTTGTCTACATGCACATTAATCCGTCTCTGCGAAGTTGCTTCGGTGGAGAAACCATTGAACTTAGCCATTCCGTTCCGGAGTTGGGCCAGCGTGCTCGCTTCTTTACACA